CATCCATTGTGTCAAGCACATTTATACATTTGTTGCCATCATCATTCTCAAAACATTTTCTTTCCACTTGAGCCCTTGGTATCAGCTCCTCATTCCCCCCCTCCCCCACCCTCCCTCCCTCCCTCTTGATAATTTATAAATTATTATTATTTTTACATGTCTTACACTGACTGTCCGATGTCTCCCTTCACCCACTTTTCTGTTGGCCACTTTTCTGTTGTCCGCCCTCCAGGGAGGGGGTTATGTGTAGATCCTGGTGATCGGTTCCCCCTTCTCCCCCACTTTCCCCTTCCCCTCCTGGTATCACTACTCTCTCTATTGGTCCTGAGGGGTTTATCTGTCCCGATTCCCTGTGTTTCCAGCTCTTACTCATGTGCATGCTCTGGTCTAGCCAGATTTGTAAGGTAGAATTGGGATCATGATAGTGGGGAGGTAGGAAGCATTAAAGAACTAGAGGAACGTTGTATGTCTCATCGGTGCTATACTACACCCTGACTGGCTCATCTCCTCCCCCAAACCCTTCTGTAAGGGGATGTCCAAGACTGTAACTCTTTAGGGGCATAGAAAGCCCTGTCTTTCTCCTGCAGAGTGGCTAGGGGTTTCAAACTGCCAACCTCTCTCACATAGTAGGTGCTTAATAAATACCTAATTACCTGGTTTGGTAAGGAATTATTCCCCAGGTCTCTTAAGTGTTCCCCGTTTAAAAAATATTTAAAAATAAAGCCAGGACTATTTATTATCATTAAAGTATTAAGATTATTTATTACAATAGCTCTTTTGTTTTATGATCCTCACGAGCATTAGCCCTTACTGTTCTTCTTGGTAAAATGTGATTTACCTGGAACTGAAAGCCTTGAATTTTATCTTAGCCAAAGAATGTGTGTTTAGCCGAGAGTGTAATTAAGGGAAATACTTAAGGGATTGTCCATGCGGTGTTCTTTCAGCTCTTAAGCAATCTATATCCTGCTAAAATGTTTGTCTTTTGTCTTTGTTTCCCCTCTCCTCCCTCTGACTGCTGCTCCAGGTCCCTTATTTCACGTGAACCCCTGGTGGCCTCCGCTCTGAATCTGACTGAGAGTCAGGCCGCGCCGAGCGTTAAACAGGAGTGGTCCCACGGCTACCGGCCTCTGCCCTCGCTCCTCTCCAGCCACGGTTCGCAGAACGGCGCTGACCTCGGGGACATCCTGGGTCTCCCCCCTGGGACGGCCATGTCCAGCAGCAGTGTCTCCACTTCACTGCCTCCCTACCTGTTTGGCGTGGAGGGCAGCCACTCCCCGTACCCCAGTCCCCGGCACGCATCCGCCAGGTCCCACCCGGCCCGCTCCAAGAAGAGGACCCTGTCGCTGTCCCCGCTGTCCGATGGCAGCATCGGGATTGACTTCAACACCATCATCCGCACCTCACCCACCTCCCTGGTGGCTTACATCAACGGCTCCAGGGCCTCCCCGGCCAATACGTCCCCGCAGCCCGAGGTCTATGGTCACTTCCTGGGTGTGCGTGGCAGCTGCATCCCCCAGCCGTGCTCCGTGCCAGCTGGCCAGAAGGGTCTGCTGGTGGCCAGCAGTGGCCTGGCACTCCCGGCCTACGGGGAGGACGGCGTGGCCGAGTCCGAGTCTGAGCGTATGCAGCAGCTGGAGCATGGAGGTCTGCAGGCTGACCTGGTGGGCAACATGATGGTGCAGCTTGGCCAGTCTGCTGGCCTGCTAAAGACTGAGCGCCTGGATGACTTCCCGGGGGCCCCCCTGGACCTGCCCTCGGTGCCTCCTCTCCCTCCCCAGGGCCCCCCGCCACCCTACCATGCCCATCCACACCTTCACCCCCAAGATCTGGGCCCCCACAGCCAGCCGCTGCCCCTCCCCCAGGCCACCCTGGAGGAGGATGGGGACATGGACGAGCTCGGGGACAGGCACTGCTGCCACTGGATAGACTGCAGCGCCCTGTATGACCAGCAGGAGGAGCTGGTGCGGCACATCGAGAAGGTCCACATTGACCAGCGGAAGGGCGAAGACTTCACGTGCTTCTGGGCGGGCTGTCCCCGCAGGTACAAGCCCTTCAATGCCCGCTACAAGCTGCTCATCCACATGCGAGTCCACTCCGGGGAGAAGCCCAACAAGTGCACGGTGAGTTTGCGCAGCCCCGCGGCTGTGTGCACAGAAGAGCCGGCTGGCTTTCCTAACGCTTTCCAAGTTCTGCCCAGACGCGGGTGGGTGGGTGGGGAGGGGGCAGGCACCTTTTCCCACATGGAAATAGAACGCCAGCTTTCTCTCTCTTCCGTTCTGGGGCGGGCGGGGGGCTTGTTCAGTCTTGGTGGCTGTGGTCTGTAGCCACTGGTGGGTTGATCATCGCAGAGGTACGTGGCCTACCCATCGTGGCAGGAGGGATGGGTCCACCACCCTGAAACTGTGGTACACTAAGGCACAGGGGTCGGGTTTCTGACATATACCAGGATGTGCAAGAACAGAGGCGCTGTGCTGCACCGCCTGCTCCCGTCCCCTCTTTTCTGAAGCAAACACGATCTCTGTGGTCTTCCCTTCTCTGCCCGCAGTGCCCGGATAGCCGGGTTGGAAACCTGGGTGGTTATGCTCTTTGGAAAGGGTGAGCCCGTGTGAATGTGGGGTCGTGTGCACTCACATGTCTTTCAGGGTTGCAAGCTCACCAAGGGCGGGGGCGGGGATGTCGTTATTGTTGTTGTCAGGTGCGGTCCAGAAGGTTCCAACGCACATTGAGCCTAATGTCCAACCGAAGGACACGCTGCCCGGCCCGGTGCCGTCCTCACAACGGTTCTGTTTGAGCTCATTGGTGCAGCCCCCGTGTCCATCTGTCTTGTCGAAGGTCATCTTCTTTTTCATTGCCCTGATACTGTTCCATGCATGGTGTCCTTCTCCAGGGACTGTCTCCCTGACAGCATGGAGAGCCAAGGCTTCACTCACGAGAGCTCGTCTAGTTTTAAGGAGAGGGAGTTTATGGGGCAGTGTCGGGAGGCAGCTGGGGGTGGGCCTTTGGAGTGAAAGGAGGTGGATGAGGTGCCCCTTCCACCCCTACCTCTCTTTTTCAGGGCATAGATCCTGGAAACTTCCCTTTCTTGGTGGCATTGACTATTTTTTGAGTAACAGGACTCTTGCATGATTTCTGAATGGTTTTACACCTAACGGAAGCTCTCAGGGGTTTATTAGCTGGGCCTGCCCCAACCCATGTGTGCGTGTAATGGAATGGCTTTGCCCAATCTTTGAGGGCGCCCTTAACTCCGGACATTCATTTAGAGCAGGGTTTCCTAAGCTTTTTCCACTCTCCAACCCTGTTTGCCTGAGAAATTTGCGCGCCAGGCAAACCCACAAGAGTTACCATGGATTCATGATGCATTTTATTTTTCATTAATATTTGGTCACTGAGTGTTCAGAAACCTTTGCCAAATTATTCTCGACTTCCACATTCGTGTATGTAACCCTATAGGGGGTTGTGACTCACAGAGTTTACAGCAGTGTTTCCCAAAGTGGGCTATACTGCCCCCGGGTGGGCCACTGGGATGATGGGGGGTGGGTGATACTGCACAAGCAGATACCTATACTTTATGCTGGATAATGAGCTATAGTATGCACATTTGTGTCAGGGAGAAGCTAAATAATTTTTTTTTTTCTGAAAAAGGGGCAGTAGGCCAAATAAGTTGAGGGAAATCTATGGTTTATAGCAGGGGTAGGGAATCTTTTTTCTGCCAAGGGCCATCTGGGTATTTATAATGCCATGTGACTTTCATCATAACATCATTTCACTGACTGACTTGTTCCTGTGTGATGGCTGCAGCCCTCATGGCATAGTGTTATGTGCTGGGCTGCTAACTGCGTGGTCAGCAGTTCTAAACCACCAGCTATCTGCAGGAAGAGTTGCAGTCTCGGTTCTACCCTGCCCTATATATGTATAGTGTCTCTCTGAGTCGGGATCGACTCAATGCCAGTGAGTGAATGTGATGGCCACAACTGCTTCTCCCTGGTGAGGTGTGTGATGGTAGCTGGTATTGATGACTTTGTGTGTGTGATGGTAGCTGGTATTGATGACTTTGTGTGTGTGATGGTAGCTGGTATTGATGACTTTGTGTGTGTGATGGTAGCTGGTATTGAGGACTTTGAGGCCTTTATATAGCTTTGGGCCGGATGTTTCCCATCGTTGGTTTAGAGGGAGAAGAATATTTCCTGCAGAGTTTCAAATCTGAGTGTGCTAGGCACTCGCCGGGTTTTGAACATACTACAGATTCCCAGTGGCATGAAAAGCATCCATCGTTTGGGAAAGGTTCACCTTGGGACTGTGGTTACTGAACCCCATCCCTGGAGCCCCTTTTTTCTACAGCATATCTAAATGATAAAGACTTTGAACCAAGTGTATGCTGGACTGGAGGTTTGCCAAGTTGTCTGATTCAGGTCAAGGCCAATCAAACAGGTGACTGGTGTAATGAAGGTATTAGAAACACTTTATCTCTGTCCACTGGGGTGGTGGATTTTTTTTTTGTCAAGGGTTGGAGGAATTCCTGGCAGAATGAAATGGCATTTCTTGTTGCGACATCACGCCCCCATGTGGCTATCTTTTCCTTCAGGAAACCCCGAAGCTGATAGCCCATGGGAATGCCAGGTTACAAGAGGGGAAAGAGGACTTGGTGTTGCAGGTAGCAAAGCCTTACTCTGACCGTGGTTCTGCATCTTCAAAGCCAGAAGGAGACGGGCCACGGGAGCCTCTTCCATTCCCTCTGCTTGAAACACTGCGGCTTCTTGCAGGGCGGCTGAATGCTCAGTTTCTGAAGGATGGCAGTCTCACCTCTCAGTTCTGGCTGAGCCTGCCCGGAAGATCATTTTTCTGGGTTTGGCTTCCTTGAAAGAAGCCTAACGGCTGAGTGATCCTCCCCTCACCCATCAAACTAGATTCTTCTGCATTGCAAAAATGATGTTTTGTTACAGTAGAACGTTCACCCTCCCCCAGCCCCAACATTCCCACTCTTCACTATTAAAAACAGACGACTTCCGGGGAATGGAAACGCCGAGAGGTGAAGGCGGTGTGGAGAGCTGGATTCTGATCGTGTCTTGCCTTGTCCTTGTCCTGATGGATCTGAGGCGCTGGCTCTCCCTGCCCTTCATGCTGCTCACCCCCCAGTTCTAGAATACATCTTCGCCCAACTCTGCTTGGGAGACTGAGTAGCATCTCAGATCTAGCTAGACCCACGGAGCAACCCCCCACACCGTCTGGGGTACAGGCCTGAAGAGACAAAACAGAGTTTGTGGGACCCTCCGGGAGATGGGCCGACACAGTGACCTACGAACCACTGTGAGGGGTCTGCAGGGCCAGGAGGTCCGTGGTTCGCTCTGTCCTGCGTGGGTCGGCAATGAGTGGGAACCGACCGGCGGGCAGCAAAGCAAGCAGCCATAGCGCCGACTTCCAATCCTGGGACTGTATGTTGTTGGAAAGAAGACACACCTACTTTCATTCCCATAACTTGCGACTGCTCCCGCCCTCTGACGGTTTGCAGGTCTGGGGCTCGGCCTGCCGGGCCCAGTGAAGTCCTTAGTTCAGAGCAGGGGACCGACTCGGAGTTCCTTTGTGCCCCAGAGGGTTGGGTAAACTTGTGCTCCCTTTGAAAACCATGGAACCACCCCTAGTTCCAAACAGATTCTTCCCCACAGTGGCCTTCTCTTGCTGCTTGGACCTCATCGGCAAAGCTCCTCTTCTGGAGCTAATCAGCACCCAACTCACTGATGTCGAGTCACGAAGGTGACCCGGTGTAGCCGCCCCTGAGGTTACCAAGACTGGTTAAGCTTAGGGCTGCTGAGCACAAGGTTGGTGGTTCAATCCCATCAGCGGGGAGAAAGAGGAGGTCACCTGCTCCCATAGAGATGGACAGTCTCAGAAACACATTGGCAGTGGGGTCGGGTATTTTGGTTTAATCTTCATGGAAACAACTGCCACATCTCTCCCAGGGAGCAGCCGGCTGGTGGTTTGCAATCGCCAACCTTTCCTGAGCAGCCGAGTGTTGTAACCACTGTACCACCAGGCTGCCCCGCCACCTCACCTGCCATCACTCCAGAAAGAGAATAGTCGGCAGGCAGCTGCTCTCCTCTGTAACGCCTCTTCAAGGGGAAGTTCAAGGATAGAATGCATCCTACCTCTTGTGGACATGCATCAGGAAGAAGGAAAGAAAAAAATTGTGTGTGTGTGTGTGTGTGTGTGTGTGTTGGGGGGGTATGTTTCTGCCTTTGTGAAACCCAGGCACAAAGGACCCTTGAGACGAACAGTTTTCATCCTCTCCCACTAACTCTCCCGTCTGATGGTGGTGGATGTGAAGCTTGCGATCTCGGCCAAGTCCAATGGCCACTCCCCCCTTTGGGAGACATGCCGTTTTCTTTGGGTTTTGTGCCTCTGAGGACCAGACACGAGCTAAGCGAGAAGGCCCGGCCCACCCCCGTGACCCCACCACTGTTTAGCGGGGATAGACTCAGTGCCCACGGTGTGGAGAGTGAGCCAGCATTTCACTCCCTGAGCTTATTGACCCAGGAAGGATTGGGTGACCCAGTTGTGTTTGGTGACCATGACTACTGCGGCACAATGAGAGCTGGTGAAAGGAGAGTGTGATTGGGCCACTTGGTGACAGCATACTTGACGGTAAGGGCTGCCCATGGGAGCCCCCCTCACCGTCAGATTCCGTTTCATGCATGGGAGAACGCATTCTCCACATCCCAGACTGTGCCCTGCCAGCCGTACCCAGAACTCTGGAATCCAGGTCACAGGATTCCAGGTGGCGGCCGCAGCAGAGAGGGGGATTGTGAATGTATTAGTGGGTCACTTACTGGAAGGACAGGATGGTTCTTTTTTCCTTTTCCCGCCCAAGTAACTCCACCCTTCTGTAGCTCTCATGCTTCTTGCTTCTGTAGAAGGGCAGCTCTGGCTGCTCTCTTTGCAGCTCTGGCCTGGATGGCGGACACGTCCACACAGAGCATGGTCGAAGCTTCCAGTTACAGGCCACCGCTCAGTCCGAGGCTGAGATAGGGCAATGCCCCTTAAGGCAGCCAGCTGAGGCCATTTGCTGCTATCGGTGAACGAAGACAAGGATGAGGTGTCAGATCAGTATCTGTTGGGAACTCCTCCC